TATATAATAAATAAAGTTGATGATGATCAAATAAAAAAATCAATTAAATATATTAAAATATGTAAATAGCAAAATTTTAAATATCATCACAATCAAGTCATTACTAATCTTGATCTTACTTCCTTATACTCTGTTCACAATGGTATTAACCAAGGTGAAACCATTACTCCTTTATTATGGCACATATATTATAACCAGGGTTGGCATAGACCGGTCAATGGTCAAGCTTAACCAGACCAATTTGACCAATTGACCGGTCTGGTCAAAGAAGTTTATATTGGTCAAATTGGTCAAATGATTTGACCAATTAGATTAAAGAGTTTAATTATATAATTATACAAGATTTTACTAAGTAAACCTTTTTTGTACTTATAAGTAAAGTTGTAAAACTGATTGTTACAATTCTAATAATAGTTAAACCATTAAAATTGATCTGCTAGCTTATGAGATATACTTAAAAATATCTTTAAATATATATAAAAATTTTTATGAAAATTTTTTATATATGTTTAAAGCAGGGTTGGTATAGACCAGTCAATGGTCAAGCTTAATTAGACCAGTTGGTCAAAAGGTTTAGTATTGGTTAAATTAATCAAAGAATATTTAAATATATAATATAAATATTTATAATATAAATATATTTAACTTAAAATATATAATTAGAATAATATAATTTTTTTTGTTATATTAATGTTTAAGCATATGAAACTATTTTTAGTGCTTTAACAGAACTTTTTATTAAACAATTTTACTGAATAAACTACTTTTTTCTAACATCTAATCTGATTATAACTCTGATATAAATGAACTTTAAAAGATTTTTATTACACTACAAATCTTACATACATTCAAGTAATGCAATACATCCTGATTTAAATTATAATATACTACTGTTACATAATAAAAATAAAATTTTAAACTAGTGTCCAATAAGATGCATTACTAGAAATACAAAAAAAATTTAAATTAAGAAAAATCCAGTCTCAATTCTGTAAATTATTTTTTAAAATATACATTTTAACCAAAATTTATAGCAGACTTTATTTTGTTTTTTAGTTATATTATTGTTAAAAAAATTTTTTAGGTTAAAATAATCAAATTTGTTATTTTTACTAAACTATCGATCAGCAATTAGAAGTCGAATCGGTCTATTATAAATCTCATTCATATAAGCTAATTGGTAGAATTAGACCCTGAATAGAGTTGCTAAATTTCGTTTAAACCTATTACTTAATTTTTTTGATTGGTCTGATGAATCATTAGGTTGATTGTTTAAGGTTTATTCAGCACGATTCTGCAAGGATTTAATTAATATGCATCAAACCCATAAGATTATCTTAAAACCCATAAGATTATCATTTAACTTATTAGCCTGGACCTACTGAGACATGCTATTTGACATTGTTATTGTTCAGTCTTTCAGATAATTGTATTATCAAATAACCTGTCTCACTACCAAAAATTTTTGGGATAGTAGGCTTTTCTTTTGCATATTAGCCCATATGTTAATTGTTGTACGTTGTGAAAGTTGGATTCGCACTGTGTAGTGTTGTTAGGCGAAACTATTTTTGGAAAATGGCGAAAATCGAAACTAAACCCGGCGAAAGTCGAAACTGGCGAAACTCTGGCGAAATGTTGAAACTCTGGCGAAACCTTCGGTAAAGCTAAAACCCCTGGAAGAAGTTAAACACAGCGAAGATCAAACCTCTAAGATTTCGGAAAGACTTCGCTGTGTTTAACTTTCTCCAGGGGTTTTAGTTTTTTACTGGAAGTTTCGCCAGGGTTTCGACGTTTCGTCTGAGTTTCGACGTTTCGCCGAAGTTTCGCCAGTTTCGACTTTCATGACAGAAAATCGTTACTTTAATAATACTTTAGAATGACGAGATAATCTACAAAAATTAGCCATCACAATAAAAGTTTGCTATGCTATCTTTTCTAGTTTCATTACCTTTTAGTAGTTTCGCCAGTTTCGACAGTTTCGCCAGTTTTGACAGTTTCGCCATTTTCATTTTTTTTTTGGCGAAACCTCTAGGTTTCGCCTAACAACACTAGCACTGTGTCTGGATAATACCAGTACTATTCTACAACACAACACTAAATACACCTAAACCACTCTAACTGAACATAATAGTGGTAAAGTAACGATCGAGACGTGGAAAGACTTGGTCCGAATAACTAGGGTCAATTAGAGTTCTAGACTACGTCACGAAGCTCTAATTCAGAATTATGGAATTTGGGTACTAATTACTATCGCTATTACTGATTTTACTTATCAGGGAGGTAACTAGTGGGAACAATACTATGCAATGTCGAACTCTAACTGAGTCAGGAGTTGAGAGATATCGGAGCTGTCAAAGCTGAGGACTGTCAGAACTGTTCTTTATTCAGAGCGAGATGACTTCGCTTATACACTTATTTTTACATAGTAATGAAATAACAAAAATAACAAATATAATAAAGATATCGAAATACTAAAGATTCTAACTATCTCTATTATCTGGGAATCTTCGATAACCTAAGGATTTTCGAGATTCTTGGGATTTCTAGAATTTTCAGAATTCTTGGAATTCTTAGAATTCTTAGAATTCATACTACATCGGGGGTAATTTACACTTTTACAACATACGTATGTGGGCTCTTTTAATGTATAACATACCCTATATGTTACTGTTGAATTTTTTCTTATCGTTATAGTTGAATAAACACAATGCAGTAATGGTAATAGTAAATTCAAATTCTAAACTAAACAGTACGCAATTTATTTAAGTTAGCACTCTTTCTATATAACGTGGTAAAAAAAAATTTTAAACCAATTTAACTAGAATTTATAACAGGTATGATCTTGTTTTATAATTATTAATCATATGAAATTTTTTTTATGTACGAATGTACATTGTTAAATAATGCAATAATAGAGTTCTAAATAGTAGATGCGCTTTATTCTAAGTTAGCACTCTTCTTAAAATAAAAAAAAAATTTTTTAACTGCTGATCATCAATCAGACCAGTCAAACTGGTTTTAGCTACTGATCATCAATCAGACCAATTTGACCAATTTGACCGCGGTCAAATCAGTCAAATTGGTCAAGTTACACAAACATTCTATTGATCATCAATAGTAATAATAATCGACCAATTTGACCAATTTGACCGCGGTCAAATTGGTCAAATTGGTCAAGTTACACAAATATTGTAATATTTGTAAATGCAATAACGTTAACGTTAGATACATAATCAAGAAAAATGCCATAAAAAGCACTCCCGGCACATGACACGTAATGCATTAAATACATGATTACTGTCAGGAAAAATGCTATGAAAAGCACTCGCGTACGTACAAGTACTTTTTTTTGGACTGCCAGTTCTCTAAATATGGTATATGTCAAATTCACTGAAATATTTTGTATGTTCTTACCTGATTATTATTGACAAATAATTTGGACTGGAGATTATGATTTAGACTGGAGGTTAACCAAATTTAGTCAGCATGATAGCAATATCCCATGACACTAACAATCGTGATTGCACTGAGAATCATTTTAGGATTGATTGGTGGTCAGTAAAAGCAAGGCAGCTGTGAACAGAGAAATGAGAAAAACAGCTATATATGTATGTGTTTCTTTCTTTTAGCTCTCTCAATCGCTCAACATTTCACTAGTGGGTTATTCTTCATCTGTCAAGCAAGACGGCTGTGAACAGAACGTGAAAAACAGCAGAATCATATATGTATGTAGGCGCATGTGCGCTTGCTTTCTCCCAGCTCCTTCAATTGCTCAACATTTCTGTTGTGACATATATTAACAAGCATTATTCTTTATTTGCATTTAATCTTCTCACGCCTGTATTCCTGTTTTATATTGTATATAGTGACATGTTCTAAAACCGAGAAGTCGTGGCTACCCTTTGACACGTGATCTAATATCACTTCGCATTAACGATTGGAACTGAAATATAGGGTGCATTATCATACTTGTATATGAATCATCATGATATAAATAACCATTCAATAATTTCCATATCATAATTAAATTTCAAATATGCCTCAAACTCATAATCATAGATTAACAAGATATATTCATGTACAAAATGATTTGGGCCCAGAACAAAAAGCTAAATAGGCTATATGTAAAGCCTGTGAAAGTAAAGAAAGTTTGTTTCAAAAAGGAAGAGATGAAGGTCTTAAATTATGGCAAGTCTATGAAAAATGAGGATTTTTTAATAGATAGGACCGTGTACAACGGCATTGGAAAAAATGTCCCTATTGGCGTGAGTTTTGGGCTGAAGAAGACCAAGAAATAATGATGTATCCAGATGCTGATGAAACAACAGCTCGAAATGTAGTTATAGCATTAAGACAGACAAGAGCTCAAAATAATACATTAGCTATGTCTATAGTTTCTTCAGGTTCTAGTGCTAGAATTTCAGATGCATCAGAATTAATATCAGTATCACGCAATATGAAACGAACACGAACCAAACAACCAAATACATCCTTAGATACCTACTTTGTTGTTTGTCAGTTATCACCTACTGAACAAAATGAATTTCATCGTCGACTTCTTCGTATAGTAGTTGAAAATGGTCTCTCATTTCAATTTACTGAAACCAGAACTTTTCACGAGTTTGTTGCTTTTTTTAATACCACTGTTAAAATTCCAAGCCGACGGACATTGAGCAAAAAAATTCTTAAAGAATATGCTGAAAAATTAGAAAGTTCTCAAGTTTCTGCTCTTTTAGAAACACAAGAACCAGCTACTATTATGTTTGACGGGTGGAAGAATGTGTGTCGCCAAGAAATTTTGGGTGCTGTTATTCTTTCAGCAACAAACAGATTATATATATGGGGTGCTGAAGACATAAGTGGTACTAGTCAAAAAACAGATAATGTATTAAACACAATTCGTGCTTTTTTAGAACGTGCAAAAAACCAAAATCTAAATGTAGTAGCTATGGTAACTGATAGCACATCATCTTATGCCTCAGCACGGTATGCATTATGTTTAAAATACTTTTAATTAAAATAAATAATTTTTTTAAGAGAATAATTACATTTAACCAACTGGAGGAACCATCGATGTTACACAACTGATCCTTCACCCGGTGTGAATTATTTTACGATACCAGACCATTCCGCTAGTACATGTTATGATTATAATTCCACACTATCTTATTATAATAAAAAATGGTGTGGATTTATAATCATAACATGTACTAGCGGAATGGTCTGGTATCGTAAAATAATTTTTTTACATGTTGCACACCGGGTGAAGGATCAGTCATGTAACATCAACAGTTCCTCCTGTTCATTTAACTAGAAGTAAAATCACGCCCTTGTGTTTTTGGTTTAGAGTGCAGTTTGAGGCAAAGAGTGGGAAGCTTAGATATAATTGTTCAAATTTTAGTTAAGGTTAGGTTTTGAGGTTCGGAATATTCTTATTTAGAATACCTAACCTTAATTACTTAGTATATTTTTAAGATATAGTACCCAATGATTTTATCCCGGTTAAAATTGGCCATTTCCTTTTTTTAATTATTATTTTTTTTTTTAATTGTTTAATTAAATGTTAATTGAATAACTATAACAATAAATTTTTTATTTAATATTTAAATTATTAATTAGATGTAAAATACGATTAGAAAGGTCGGATCTTGTATTCCTGCCATGTTTTGCACATCAGGCCAATCTTTGCATTGGTGATATTTTTAGATGTTCGTCAGAATATAAATGTGTGGCAGAGCAGGCAATTGAAATAGCGGTATATTTTACTGACAAAAGACATTCAAAAGCAATATCATTACTTCATAATGAACAACAAAGAATTTATAAGACAATTTATAGCTTTGTTCGTCCTGTAATTACCCGATGGAATTCCTATTATTATTGTTTCACCGCTCTTGTTAGAAGTAAACGGGCTTTGCAATCGTATTCAATTCTTCATTTAAATTCAACTGAGTTATCAAGTAAAGCGCGATCTGCTATCAATAGCACAACATTTTGGAAGAATGTTGATGAGCTTGCCGATTGTTTGTTGCCATTTGTTAGTATTTTAGATTACCTTCAGCGTGATGCTGCAAATCTTTTTGATGTAATCTATTCATTTGCATATGTCGCACAACAGTACGAGGATGAAGCTACCGGATTTGGTTATGCAATGTTAAAGCAACTTGAAAAGTGCTGGGCTGATTGGGAACAGCCATTGCTTTTTTTAGCAGTTATATTTAATTCACAATTTCGAGCTCATGCTTTATCCAACCAAGTTTTTTTTAGTATTGAACGAATAGCTAACTGGATTGAATATTATTATGAAAAGTGGTTTAATAAAAAACCAAAACATATCACATTGGAATTAACAGAATATTATATGAAACGAGGCATTTTCACTGATGATCGGTTTAATAATACTCTTGAAGCGATTTCAGAAGAACATAATATGCAAGATAAGATGTCAAATAACGTAGTTGGGCTTGCACTACTGCGGTATTGGGAGTTCACTGCACTTAATTTAAAAGAAATGGGCATGGTTGCACAAAGGCTGTACAGCATTAAAGTCAATTCAGCTCCATGTGAACGCCTTTTTTCTCGCATGGGATGGTTTCATAACTCTCAACGAAATCGGCTTAAGGTAAGGGTTGAGTTATTGTCTTTTATATAGAATAAATTTCTATAAATTATTACTGTATCATGTGAGTCCAAAATGTGAAATAGTTATCTACACAAAAATACCATTCCTGATGGATTGTCGGTACCGATCTTGACAGAATTAAAAAAAAAATTTTATTTGAGTACTGCTCCAGATAGACGAACCCCAATCCTAACTTTTTTAATATATTTCACTATAGTAGTATAGCATTTTAGAGGCCCTTCTTTTAGAACCCTATCAGGAACGATATGTAAATCAATATTTGTTTCTTACTCTATTAGGAATAGTGCTGACAATCTAAAAATTTGGGTGGAGACATTCATATAGCAGGAGAAACCATCGATGTTACACGACTGATTCTTCACCCTGTGTACAACATATAAAAAATTATTTTACAATACCAGATCATGTCGCTAGTACCTGGTATTGTAAAATAATTTTTTATATGTTGCATACCGGGTGAAGAATCAGTCGTGTAACATCGATGGTTTCTTCTGCTCATTCATATATCACTATCATATGTGCAACCTAATTTATAACTTAAACTAAGATACAGTAATTGCTAGAACAGAAAACATCTAATGCTAAAAATTAATTCTAAAAAAAAAAAATTATATTTTTGTATTTTATTCTGCAGATAAAACTGATTTTTCAAATGACACAAATCGCGGCAGAAATGGCATAGGAGGAATGCCAAGAAAAAATTGAAATGGTTCGAAATATAGCTATTAAAAATCAAATTATAGGTTCAGTTAATTATGATACACAAACATCATCTTATGAACAATCAGAATCTGGCACACTTAATCTCAACGATATTGTAAATGTTACGATAATGAAAATAACAGTAAAAACATAACCGAACAGAATGAGGAAAATGATACTAATGCAGATAATAGTGATAATGACACAGACGGAGACCTGACTGATAGTGAATCAATCATTAAAGAATGGACTGAAATAGATGAAGATGAAGAGCTTGAAGAATATGAAGAGCTTGAAGAAGATGAAGAGCTTGAAGAATATGAAGAGCCCAAAGAAATAAGCGTAGGCACCTTGAATACTGCTGACAGACTTAATTGCCATCCGGCTGATCATAAAAATTCAAAAATTGAATTACAATACCTTTTTTCACGTGTCCTAACGCAACCATCATTCGTTCGCATTATTGAACAAGATGTTGGAAATGTCGAAGCAACATAATAGGTGGGTTGTAATTAAATACAGTATAAATAATTAAAGATTAAATTTTGTAAATTGTAATTCTTATTTATATTTAAATTAAAAATATTAGATCAGTCTTTCATCAAACTAGAACTTATGCATGAATCTATTAGTCTGTGGTTAAAATAATCAAATTTAATAGGTACATATGAAAAAATTGTCTTAGATACGTATTAGTTTTCTACTTATATTATATTGATTTTACTAAAGTTTAAATATGAATGAAAAAGGTCGTGATATATAGAAAAAAAATAAAAAATAAAAAGAAAAAAAAGAAAAAAAAAAAAAAAATTTTATAAGAATAGTAATATTGGTGAAAATTCTGGTTATATGGATTATTATAAATTCCTATTGGACATTGATAAAGGTTTTAAATAAATAAATATTTGGTTTCTAACGAATTTGTGTAAGTTTTTTCAATCCAGTTGCAGCAAAACAAATTATCACTAATAAGTTCCTTGATTATATGAGCTGCCATCAATAGAAATCAAGCAGATTGACATTTTAAAAACAATTAATCTCTTAACTTTCACAGCTAATATTTCAATAAATTTTAAAACTATATTGATTAATTAATATTTAAAAGAAAGTTTAGACCTTAAGCATTCCTTTGAATATTGATTCGTCAAGATTATCTCAAAACTTATCGAAATACAAGCTATGAAAGTTAAAGGATTAATTTTTTTAAGCTTGATTTCTATTGACGGCAGCTCATGTAATTGAGTTTGAGTTAACTTAATTTCAATGATTATCTTTCCAGATGGAACCTTTATTTATGTTTGTCACAAGTTGAAATTCTTCTGTTTAGGCTTAAACAATTCCAGATTGGTTAATATTATTTCAAAAGTTATAAGTGTGCAAAAAGTCTCAAAATCAAATATAGATGTAAAAGTAAATATGACAAAAATCATTTTAAATGTAAAAAAGACAAAATTTTCTTACGGAAGCATCTGCCATTCAAAATTATACTTGTAATAATTAGTGCAGTTAGAATATATAACTAGGATATATGCATAAATAGCTTTGTGATATAATGCTGTTTAAATTGAATTCAAACGCCTCATTGATGATTTGAGTAAATTTAAAATTTCGGTTCAACCCAACTGTATTTAGAATCAAATTTAAGCTGATTCTAAATTTAGCAAGATATGAGTGACGAAAAGGAAAAACTTATAAATCATTTCACTCAATAAGTGAAATAATTTACAGTTATTCCTTTTCACTACTCATATAACTAAGATACCGTGAACAAAGTCACAAAACATTATTTGTCATGAGAGGGCATATTCTATACCAAAAATTTTGCAAGGAATTTTTTTTTTACCAGCAGTTTTATAGACAAAAATTTTGATTTATTGGCAGTTTTTAAAGATTTTCACGTTACACTTGATTTGAAGATCTTATTAGCATCGCTTATTAGAAGAGGTGTATCTTTCACGGTCCTGTCTGATGTATAATCGATTAATATTGATGTAAATATGATCGATTAATAATGTTGTATGATTGATAGCGATAATAAGTATGTCATGATAATAGCTAGTTAAATAGGATAAAAACAGAATTTGCTTTTGCTTTTGCTGCTAGTTCGAGCTTTGTCATAGTAACCACCTACTACTAGGAGTGGAAGGAGTTGAGTAATAAGGTTTAATTAGTTATAGATAGATAGATATGTTTTTTGATAGCCTAGACAGACAGTCTGGATATCCAGGATAAGCCTGATAGCCTAACTGAACAGGTTGGATATTAGAAAACATAACCAAGAGCAGAAAAATTAAGCAAAAAAAATAAATAAATAATACTAAAGAATGAGCTAAGATTATATAAGCAACAATTTTTATATTATGTATAGAGATATAATAGTTAAATAGTCAAGCTTAGTTAAGCTTGGTTAAATCAATTTAATCGTTTGGTTAGAGTTTCGTTAACCTCTGTAATTTAATATCATGTAATAAATAACAGTAATGTAACATTAATGTCTAGAACATTAGTAGCGCTATGAAGTGCTATATTGCGATACATAACGCTAGAAGTTTTATTAAGCACCTGTAAAATTAATAGTTTTAAAATAGTACAGGAAATGCTTGGTAAAGCTAAGGGCGTTCTCAAGCGTCTTAATCAATTGGACAAAAAGTGTCGATGAATAAATTTTACTTAGCGGAAAATATTTTAAGGGGTTAATATCGTAATGAATATTTAAATAAACATTGTAGTTTAATAAAGTTTATTACGTAATTAATATATTTTTATTAATAAAAAATAATACTTGAGTTTATCATTTCAATTTATAACCATTTTACTGCAGACCGCTTTTTTTTATCCCTGGGTTGGCAAAATTTACAATTAATTGAGTATTCAAAGAGATCGCACAAGTAACCTTATTATACAACCTTATGCAATAACTGAATGTTAATGAACCAAACGTAATGATAACGACATTTGATAAAATATTAATGGACTGTTCAAGTATCAATTACGATTCTTATTTCGTTTGTTTATAGTAAATGATCATCGTCATGTTTATTAGATAAATGCATATAGAATAAGGTTTGAGCAAACTTTGATTACTTCATAAAATTCATTATCAAAAATTTTATGTAAATATAATTATCGTTGTACACTATTACGAACACTAACTAATCGCATTGAGGTTGAGGCTTGAGAACGCCCTAAATCGTACAAATGTACTAATAGAAAGATAGCAAAAAGATCATAATGATCTGAAATATATAAATAAACTCGAATATTGCTTTTATAGCAAAACAGTTTTTATACTCAACAACATAATAGAGTTTCAACAACTCAACAATAAAGGAGTAATCATGTCTTCATACATGAACAACTCAAATACTTTATTGAATAAACTAGTTACAATGTTTTTAATATATAAATAATTTGGAGTATAGTAATAACTTGTTATATGACAACTTGTATTTGTATCTTTATATACATTTGGGCTAGGTGCTGCGTAAAGGGATCAAATTGACAAAATAAAAGATCTTCGGAAAATCAATTTTTATATTATAAATCTTATAATAAATCATAGGAATATGCAAACTTTGAAGAGCAATATATCAAAATTTTATTAATATAACTACTTTTATATTTTAAATAAAAAATGAATCTAATCTTATTCTAAATTGATTTATGTAAAAAAACAACCTTTAAAAAAATTGTCAAATTGGTCCCTTTTTGCAGCACCTAGCCCATTTAGCCATTGCTTTTTTCATAATTGCAAATCACTCTAATCTTCTTAAAAACATAATTGCAATAAAACCTTATACTTAAGCATAAACTGACAATGTTATTTAATTACTTAACCTACTGCTAGCATAACAAGTTTTATTGTGGTTGATTGATTTTGAAGATTATTTCATCATATTAACAATTAAAGTCATATTAAAGTAATGATTTGCTGTTACAAAAATGGATTCAGTATCACAAATAGGAATTCAGCAAGAGTAAAGTAAAAAAATTTTGAAAGTTTAAATTTCACTTTATGTACTGTCAAAGTAATTCAGTAAATAGTAAAATAATTTAAAAGTTAAATGAGAGGTATGTTAAGCATTTCAATTTAGTCAATAAAGCATAAATATAACTATTAAGCTTAGTAAATTGCAGTTTTTCAAAAAGTTTATAACATTAATTCAACATCACTAACCTATTTTATTTATAATTTATTTGTTATTATAAAGACATGTTCATATTATAAATATAATAAATTAATGATATAAAATAATAAAATATGAACATGTGAATTTTACAAAAAATTAAATATAGTGTAGTACATAAGATTGTTTAAAGTTAAAATTTATTTAGCATTAATTAGCTAATAATATAATAGTATTATATATAGTTAAAATTGCTTTATATATTTAATTAATTTTCTAAAACATGTTTTTTATTGTTTTTATTTTATTTTATTTGTTTATACTATATTTATTTCTTTTTATTTTTATTTTATTTTTTTTTAATTTGTATACTATTATGTCTTTGAATTATAGAATATTAATTGTTCTTGGAATAATTGCTTTAGTCATTAAGTTGTTGAGATTTGTAATAATGCATTTATTAATACTAATTTATTTTTATAATTATTTATTAGTTTTGTAATAAAATACTTTCATTGATTTAATTAATTAATAAGATTTATGCAATATCACAGGATAATTTATAAAAATCAACTAATTATTATGAAAGTCTGCTATGCTTTTATTGCTATATTGCTAAAATAAAACTGTTATACTAAATGTATAAAAAGTTATTAAGTATAACAGCTTATATTAGTTAATTAAAATAAAATATATAATAGAAATTATATAAACTAATTAAATTAAATTTGATTAATTTAACTACATATAGTTTAATTATAATTAAATTAATAAATTAATCAAATTAGTTAAATTTTAATAATAATACTTTGATTTATTTATTAAAATTTTATATAATTAAAAGTTTTAATTTGATTGGTTAGTTATTTGACCAATTTGATCAGACCATTTGACCAATTTGACCAGACCAATTTGACTAACAAATTTTTGGTTGACCAGTAATTTGACCAACACTGATTATAACCCACTTATTTTATATATACATGCACAAGTACCTGACTATACCTTACAATCCTTCTGGACTACCAATCTCAAACTTCAAATATTCAACTCATTACAAAAACAATGCTCTGTTTTGACATATATAGATGACACCCTCTGGGTTGCTTCATCGCAAACTGAGCTTTCAAATATATTATCCATAATTAAATCATTTTATGCTATGGCTAACATTCAAGTTAACCTCTCAAAATCTACCTTTGTCACCAACAATCCTCCATCTTACTACACTCTTATCTCCTATAATAATCATCTTCTTCTACTTCATTCTCCTAAATAACCCTTTAAATTTTTAGGTTGCTGGTTTATTCTGGACAACAAGCAATCTAAACAAACAAAACTGCTTATTGCTGAATCCTTTTAACTCATTCA